ATTGCAATATATGACGAAAAAGGTCAAATATTTCATGACAAACTGACAAAAGAAAAAACACGTTCTTATACCCATTATATAGGCCTATATCCAACAGTTCCTTACCTTCGACATCAGAGCTCTGATGGCAGCAGAAGTAATACCGGAAGGCATGATGGCGAAGAGGTAAATGACCCACCACTGGGACGGGGAGGTGGTCAGGCCGAGCGTGAGCAGCTTCAGGAAAATGATGAACGCCACCCCAGCTCCCATTGAACAGTCATGGACGGCCAGTTTGTGCAGCACAGGAGCCGCGAGGAGACTCATGGCCTGTTCGAGCACTTGGTTGACGGTCGAGTACAAGCTGTATTGGTTCTCGTCCCAGAGGTACACCCGACGCGTCCACAGGTAGAGGTTGTGGGGCATCGTGCTAATCTGACTCAACATTATCAACATGAGGACAATGAGGTGAGACCGCCCTCGCCCGGGCCGGCGCCTGAAGCAAACCCGAAACAGATCAACGATATTCCTCGGATCCCAGGGGCTCCCTGGTGTTTTTCCTTCGCTCGAATCACCTGGGGCTTCCTTGGTGTCGTTTGCATGACCTGGGGCTTCCTTGGTGTCGTTCGCATGACCTGGGGCTTCCTTGGTGTCGTTCGCATGACCTGGGGCTTCCTTGGTGTCGTTTGCATGACCTGGGGCTTCCTTCCTGACATCCACGTCGCTCGAGGCTTCCTTGTTGTCGGAACTGGAGTCTTTATCTCTGATCACGAAGATGACAAGGAGGAGACACGCCACGATGATCACGAGCCCGAGACCGAAGACCCAAACATAGCCTTTGGCGGCGAAGACCCACGCCCCCAAGACCGTGCCAATCGGGCCTCCCATGTGCATGATGGAATTCATGATCGTCATGCGGACCGTGCGCGTCTTGGCGTTCGTCTTGTCCGCCATGAAGCTGTAGCAGGCCATCAGGAGCATCATCATTCCTCCGCCGAGGCTATTCAGGAAGGAGGCGAGGAGGAGGACCTGCGGAGGCCACGAGGGGAAGAGGGACTCCAGCAGGTAGATGAAGATGTAGAGAAGATCCCCGACGAAGGAGAGGACGATCAGCGCCTTCCTCCCGCGGCGGTCGCTCCACGTGGCGGTGAAGGAGATGAGCACCAGAGGAACCACCGTCGACACCACCTTCTCGTAGAAGTAGAACACGCTGTCCAACTTCTGCGTCTCCGCCTGAATGTCCCCGTGATGACCGTCGTTGAGCAAGGCGCAGTCCTCCTCGTCGTAGCCCAGAGTTATCCGGCAGAACCGATCGAGCTTCAGGTTCTCCCTCACGACCGACCGAGAATACAGGCCAATGTAGTAGAGAAAAAGAATCGGCTCGATGGATATCTCGCCGAGGAACCCGCGGACTTTCCCGAGGGTCGTGTTGGTCTTCGACTCGCTCGCCATAGCTCGTGGTCCTCGCCCTTTCGCTGAGGGAGGAAAACGACCGTCTCTTTATATCTCTTTGGCTTATATCTGCAGCTCGATAAGGCGGTGGAGAAATGGATTCGTCGTATTATTAGTTTTTTTTGGCCTATTTGCTAAATGTATTGTGCGTTCTATTTTCGTCTTACAATCATCCACGCACACTTTTGTTTCTCAGATTGATAATGCAACATTTCCTCGATAGGTTTTGAAGAATAAGTTAAGAGGTAAGGTAGTAAAGATTTTTTTTTAATGTGTGAGAGGAGACGAGCGAGAGAGAGAAGAAAAGGAGAGAATGAAGTAGGGACACAAACAAACAAACGGGAAACAATACGAGAAAAGAACAAGCGCATAACATTAAAAAGAAAGAAAGAAGGAAAAAGAGGGAGAGAAATAGGGTAACAAGGCAAACCCCATCCCCCAATAAAAAAAAAATCAAAGGTGAACAGTGAACGAACTCAATGATCATTATCAGAAAGATAAAAAACCGGGGCTCCCACAGCGTTGACACCTGATAAGTGTGGAGAATTTTCCCACACTGCCCTCGCTTCAACATGTGTACCTTATCTCTCGTTAAGGGTTAAACACGTGCCTTGCCTTGATGTCTTATCGCTAGTGAAATTCAGTAAACCCTACGCATTTCGCTGTATCAGTATCATCGTCATAGTTTTTGGGAGAATTGTTAATGTTATCATCATTGCCGTCCTCTTTGTCCTCATTTTTATCTTCATTTTCATCTTCGTCATCATCATCACCGTTTTCTTTACCACACTCAACCATCCTCTGCATTACCATCAACATCATTAGTATCATCATTTGTATTATTACTGTTAGTATTATTACCGTATTATTATTTCTGTTAGTATTATCATCATTGTTATTATTTTTATTATTAGTAGTAGTAGCAGTATTATCATTATTACTACTACTTTTATTACTACACCTTTATTGTTGTTATCATTATTACTATCCCAGTTATCATTATATCTTTATCATTATATCATTGTCAGTGGCAATATTTTCTACTGTTATTATCACTTTCATTATTGTTGCTATTATTATCACTATTTCTATTGTTTTAATCAAAGCTATCATTATTATTTTTACTGTTGCTATTATAGTTGTTAACATTACCATTATTGTTGTCATTATGACTGTTATCATCATTATCATTATTATTATTATCATTACGTTATTATCATTATTATTATCATCATTATCATCATTATCATTACTACTTCTACTAATACCATTATCATTTTTACTATCATCATTTATCATTATTACTATTATTATTGTCAAGATCATTAGTATTAATACTAGTATCACTATTATTATTATTATTATCATCACCATCATCATCATAAGTATTCTTGTTATTACTATTTTCAATATAGTTATTATTATCATAATCAGTATCGTAGACATCATTATTATCGTTATTGTCATTGCTATCATATTCATTGTTCTTATGATTAAGATAATAGTATTTATCATTATTACTATTATCATTATCATTTTGAATTTTATTGTTATCATTATTATCATCACTATTGTTACTACTGCTATTGTCATTGTCATCATTTTTACTATCAGTTTTATTATATTATTGTTACTATTATCATTATCATCATTATTATTATTATTATTGTCATTATCATTATCATTATTATTATTATCATATCATTATTATTATCATTATCCTTATCATAATTATCATTATAATTTTTATCATTATTACTATTATTATCATTATTATTATCTTTTTATCATTATTATCATTATCATTATTATTATGATAATAATGATGATAATAATAATGATTATAATAATAATGATAATAATAATGATAAGGTTTATGATAACAATAACAATAATGATAATAATAATGATAAGGATTATGATAACAATATAAATAATGATAATAACTATTGTTATCTTTCTCCTGTTTATTATTATTACTTTTATTATTATCACTATCATTACGACTGTTATTACTATTATCATTATAACATTATCACATTATTATTATCATTGCCTTTATAATTCTTAATATTATCATTATAATTATTATCATTATCCTTATAACCGTTATTGTTATAATCATTGTCATTATGATTATTATTATCATCATTATTATTATCATTATCATTATTATCATCAGTACTATGATATATATATATTTTTTTTATAATAATCATAATAATTATAATAATAATAATGATAATAGTAATAATAATAATAATAATAATAATAATAACAATAATAATAATAATAATAACAATAATAATACTAATAATAATGATAATAATAATAACAGTAATAATAATAATAGCAATAATCATCATCATCATCATCATCATCATAATAATAATAGCAATAATATTAATGATAGTGATAGTGATGATAATAATGATAATAATAATAATAATAAAAAGAGCAATAACAATGGTAATAATAAATTATAATAAAGATAACAGTAATGATGACAATAAAATTAGCAATAATGACAATGTAAAACAAAAATAGGACTTTACATTTTGAAGAAACAATTAACAAAATCATTTACTCACTCATAAATATTCAGCATACTGAATAGAAATTATTAAAAGAGAAGCGGAAATGCATAACAAAGAGAAATAAATAGGGTAGGGAAAAGGAAACATCAAATAGCATAAAATATCATTATAAAATATGTTACAAGTTGAAGATAGCTTTCTGAGTTTCATTTTATAAAATGGTGACATGACAATTATATAATGTTAATGATAACTCTTAGTGTAGGTGTTCCCTTGGTGATATCTATTACAATTATATTACTTTTTTTTTTTTTTTTTTTTTTATAATGACACTCACTTCAATAAGCAATATCATTCATAGCCTTCATATGTTCAATTGATTCAATAATCGAGGTTTAATACAATCTGTTTATTGGAATTCATTTGATAAGCGTATTTACATAATGAAACGCTCGTAACTGTCATATATGTATCTCAGTGAGTCTAAATATTTCATAACAAGGTGTAACTGAAGGTACGTTTTGAAGTTATGGGAATGAATCAATATATATCTCTCTCTGTTGTATGTTCGTTGTTATATTGTTGCTATTATTTCGTAAGTTCCTTTTTTTACTTTTTTATTGTAGACTATATTTTTCTTTCGGTTGTTCTGTCTCTCTCTCTCTCTCTCTCTCTCTCTCTCTCTCTCTCTCTCTCTCTCTCTCTCTCTCTCTCTCTCTCTCTCTCTCTCTCACACACACACACACACACACACACACACACACCACACCACACACACACACACACACACACACACACACACAACACACACCATCCCGTTTCCCTTCTTCTCTTTCCCCTTCTTCTCTTCTTCTTTCCTTCTTCTCCTCCTTCTCTCTTCTCCTCTCCTTCCTCCTCCTCCTTCTCCTTCTCCTCCCCCCCCTCTTTTTCTCCCTCTTCCTCCTCCCTCTTTTCTCTTTCTCCTTCCCTTTCCCCACCCTCTGTCTCCCCAAAAGCCTTCTTCCTCTCTTCCTCTCCCCCTTTCGCTTATCTAAAGGCATAAATCCCAGATAAATGGAAAGATTCATCACAGCGTTTTTAATCAAATAATTCAAAGTGCTTGCATGGTCTAGATGGCCGGGAGGGCTTCCTGCAACAAGGCTTACATGCAATATGTCATGTGTGATAAGATATAATTGATGATTGATTTATGCTTGTTTTTTTTCTCTCTTTCTCTCTTTCTCTATTTCTCTGTCTCTCCCTTTCTCTTGCGCTCTCTCTCTCTCTCTTGTTCTTGCTCTTTCTCTTTCTCTCTCTCCTCTCTCTCTTTCTCTGTCTCTCACTCTCCCTTTCTCTTTCTCTTGCTCTTCTCTTGCTTTTGCTTTGCTCTTGCTCTTGCTCCTGCTTGCTGCTCTTGCTCCTGCTCTCTTCTCTCTCTCCTCTCTCTCTCTCTCTCTCTCTCTCTCTCCTCTCTCTCTCTCTCTCTCTCTCTCTCTCTCTTCTCTCTCTTCTCTCTCTCTCTCTTCCTCTTTGCCAATGCCTTTGTCTGTCTCTCTGTCTATCCATCGATCTATCTATTTATCTATCTTCTTTTGTGTCTTTCTATCTATCTATCTATCTATCTACTCTTAGAGGGAAAAGTGGCATTTCATTTATGTTTGAAATATTACGTATGATTTTTAATTGTTTTTCGTTTTTTTCAATATTCTTAGTGCTAGAAGTCTTTTGTTATTGTAATTGTATTTACCTTCTTAACATACATAAGTTTATTCTCATTTATCATTATTTTCTTTCCACAGGCTAGGAATATATTATAAGTTTATATATAGCAGGTCTCATTACTTATAATGATTAAATAATGTTTCTTGTCTTAATTTTATTCATTATCATTCCACAGGACATGCGAATATGATATACAAAAACAATTCGTATTTATCATTTTAATCATTATAAAATTAATGTGCACACTGAATTTTTTAATCATTTTTTTATATTCATTTCCTTTTTCGTTTTGAATTTTGTCAACATTGGAATCTCGTGTTCGAAATGTGGAAAGTTCAAATCGTATTTCCCATTACAAAATAACAATAATAATAATAATAATAATAAATAAATAAAATTAAATGTATATTATTATATTTGAATAGTAAAAAATTTACCTTGTTTTGGAGGGGAGGCAGATCAGCAAGTATATCTCCTCAAGTATGTACGATTTTTTTTCACTACATAATGTAATTTCTTAGACGCTAGTATATCGCTTTCCTTGATATTCTATGATAGACTGTCTCTAAGCCTCCGAAGCACCAGTATACTTCTACATTCCCTTACAATTCCTTTTTTCTTCTGTATTGTTTATAAAATCGATGTCAACTGTAATTTTCATGAAGTATATCGCTCTTTTCTTTGTATTTATTCATTATTTCAGACATTATTTCTGTATTCCATATCTTCACTTTAAGTTCTTATACATCCATTTTGTCCCTAATTCATCTAGTAATTTCATCATATTTTTTGTTAATTTCATAATTGTCTCGCTTTTCTTTTCTTTTTTTTCTTTCTTTTTTTTTTACTTCACTTCACTCAGCATTCAACTTTTTTACGTGATACTCCTTTATACGATCTCTTTCATTCGTTTTTTGGTTTTCGATTTTCAGAAATTCCTCAAGGTTGCGCTTTTCACTTCGACTTTCATTGCATTTTTGTAAACACTTTTCGTTATCTTTAGTTATTATTTATGTCTTTCCTTTCCTTTGTCTCCCGTGTCCTTCCTCGGCTTCTTTCTAGCACTCAAAATTTTCGAAAGATCAAGTGATATTACTCAAATAGATCCAAATGGTGAATTTTGAGGTATGAGTGAATATTTAACACAAATTTGCATAAATACTCTCTCACTCTCTCTCTCTCTCTCTCTCTCACACACACACACACACACACACACACACACACACACACACACACACACACACACACACACACACACACACACACACACACACACACACACACAAAGAATATGAATACATTAACTAAACCTTTTGGAAAATTACAAAATAGCAATAAAAACCGGATTTGGCCTTTATTTCGGTGCTTTAAGGCAACCTATTCAAAAACACTAACAGCAGTGATCGACCAGTGACTGCCACCATGGCTTTACAGTCACGGACAAAAGTACAGTGAGTGATTCTTCAACACCATTCTATCCTAAACAAAAAGTTACATTATATGGTCGTATGGTATAATATTCGAATCGACTGTGAAAAGAACTTAGACGAGTGTGATTCTCCCCTTTCTCCTTCCTTATTTTCACTACAACCGTTTTGATGACTCATACATAGTAAAGGTATCATTGATGATCATAGGTATCTTGAAACTTTGAATAAACAAGGCAAAAAAAAATAATGAAGCATGGACACCGACGAACTTAAATCCGGATTTTGGAATGCTTCGATTCGTAAGATCACTTTTTTTCTAATTGCATGACATATAATACTTTTCTTTACATATGTTTTGAATTTCTTAAATTCATTGCATTAAGTAAATCGGAGTGCTACAA